CCGTGACTAACAGTCACCGCTCTCTGCAGGGAGACGATGGGGAAGTGAGCGAGCGACGGTATGTCTTCGCTCACTTCCCGATCAATAGAGCCGACGTGTGACAGTTTCATTGTCACACGTCGGCTCCAACTATCAGTAAAAATCACTCCCCTCATAGCTCTCCTTTAATGATGGCTATTATAGTAGGTTGTAATTTATCAGTTCGGCCACTAGATGGCGCGCTGTGAATTGAAGTATTTGCATTCGTTACATTGTATCTATTTATCTTTGCTACGTTTTGTTTATTTATATATCGGGTTCTCTGTTATGTAGCATATAATACTCCTTCCAGTGTATGTACTGTGATCATTATTTATGATATATGTTTTTAAGCCTCGGCTGGAGCCGCATGTTGTTTATTTAGTATTGTAAATTGTTTTTGTGTTCTGTGCATGTTATATGTTCTCTGACTGTCAGTATGTGTGCTCTTAATTTAAGTGCGTGTTCTCTGTCTGTGAGTGTTCTGACTGTGAGCATGTGTGCTCTGAATGTAAGTGTGTGTGTTCTGATTGTAAGTGTGTGTGCACTGTTCTCTGTCTAGAAGTGTGTGTGCTCTGTAAATGTGTGTGTGTGCTCTGTAAATGTGTGTGTGCTCTGTAAGTGTGTGTGTGCTCTGTAAGTGTGTGTGTGCTCTGTAAGTGTGTGTGCTCTGTAAATGTGTGTGCTCTGTCTGTGAGTTTGTGTGCGCTCTGTAAGTGTGTGTGCTCTGTAAGTGTGTGTGCTCTGTAACTGTATGTGTTCTGTAAATGTGTGTACTCTGTCTGTTAGTTTGTGTGCTCTGTAAATGTGTGTGCTCTGTAAGTGTGTGTGCTCTGTCTGTGAGTGTGTGTGCTCTGTCTGTGTGTGTGTGCTCTGTAAGTGTGTGTGCTCTGTAAATGTGTGTGCTCTGTCTGTGAGTTTGTGTGCGCTCTGTAAGTGTGTGTGCTCTGTCTGTGAGTGTGTGTGCTCTGTAAGTGTGTGTGCTCTGTCTGTGTGTACGCTCTGTCTGTGAGTGTGTGTGCTCTGTAAGTGTGTGTGCTCTGTCTGTGAGTGTGTGTGCTCTGTCTGTGTGTGTGCTCTGTCTGTGAGTGTGTGTGCTCTGTAAGTGTGTGTGCTCTGTCTGTGTGTGTGCTCTGTCTGTGAGTGTGTGTGCTCTGTAAGTGTGTGTGCTCTGTCTGTGTGTACGCTCTGTGTTGGCTGTACTCTATGTGTGCTCAGAGTGTCAGCAGCCCCCCAAATTCTGCACCTCTAAAAACAGGTCAGCAGGTTCCCCTATTTCTTTTCTAAGTGTTAAATCCCATTAGAGCAGATCTCACCGACGCACGCTGCGACAATGGCGGCGATGGCGATTTTCTGCCCCGTCGGGGGGTCCCGAGTTCTTCTCGAAGTTGGCGTCTTCCTGGCCTCAGGAGCGTCCTCAATGTGCAGCGCGGCCTCATCCTCGTCCACGGACCGGTAGATGGAGAACGAGTTGTGTGACGTCATCTGCGGGTCGGAGGAAAGCGGTGAGGTGCGTCACACAGCACGGAAAAAAGACAAAATGGCGGCAATGTAAATGGGAATGAAAGTTGTTACTGCGGCTTTCGGATCCGCTTCATCTCTGCAGACATCTCCTGTCTCTATCGGTGACTCCATACCCCCGCAGAACCATCCTCGGAGTCTGCAGTTGTGTCACAGCTCCGCCTCCTGATGGATGTCTAAGCAACTCTTCCTCTGGGGTCTCCAACAGACAAAAGTGACGCCGGATCGGAGTTTAAGCCGAGCACTCCGGCGCTTCTCCCACATTTTGACGCCAGTGGGGGCACTCCCCCCCTCCCTCCCCCCACCTGATTCATCAATGTTTCATACTAAAGGGCACCGCAGGCAAAAATTTGTTGGAGAAAGAGGAAGAAGTTTTATTGACAGAAAACACAAACAACAGAAATCCTTCCAGCAGATGTGTGGAGGGTCAGGTCTGCTTCAACCCTTTCACTGCCAGAGAAGGTTTTTTTCATTTTTGTTTGTGTTAAAATGCACATTTGTGGCCTGAAGATTACCTAACCCCCCACCTCCCCCCCCTCCCCCCCCCAAACCCAAATTTT